TTCTGCAGAAAGACGGGCATTGACCCCGTGATTCCATTCATGTATCTGCACTGACTACAGGAGGCAAATTGTCTTGCCTTGGGTGTCAGTTTTGGTATATGGTACTCGAACCGACAGCGATAGGTAGGTAAATCTCGGTCATATCGCGGTCATTCCCCGCAGAAGACGTGCATGAGAAAAGTGGCTGTATTGTCAGCACTAGTACTGTGCTGTATACAATAGGGCAAGTCTTCACTTGAGTCGGTTTCAAATACCATCAGTGCCTAAGAATAAAAATTCAAAGAATGTACATCGTGTGAATGTGCGTGTGTTGAGAATGACATGCTACAACAGTGCCGCTATACGCATATGGACTCAGCACAAAGTACAATACCACTAATAGTATGTTTAAGTGGCTATTGTTCAGCAATAGGGGTAGGTACAGCTGAACTATATGGATTAATGGCTACAATGGTACCATGTATGAATGGATATCATTCAGCACCAGGGACAGGTACAACTGTACGTAGTATGAATGAATGGGTATTGTTCAGCGCCAGGGGTAGCTACAGAAGCACTATGAATAAATGGACATTACTCTGTACCAGGGACAGGTACCACGGTACTAAGATGGGTACCATTCAGAACCAACGCTACAGCGGTACGATGTATACATAAAGGGATATCACTCAGCACCAGGGACAAGTACCACGGTACTACGAATAAATGGGTGTCGTTCAGCACCAAGGACAGGTACTGCGGTAATATGTGTGAATAGATATTATTCAGCACCAGGGACAGGCACAGCGGTAATAGTTGTGAATAGATCATATTATTCAGTGACAGGTACTGCGGCACTCTACTGTGTGTCGCCTTCGTTTTACTCGTAAGAGCTATTGCGCTGTTCCGCGTTTGATAGAGTCAGGTGACATGTACATCATCATAATGAGGACATATAGTCCGGACCCGCGGCGTTCGCTAGATCACGTTGACGAGGATCTGACAAGCCCGCTACACAGTAAATCTGCAGTATGTAATGTGTGAACGTGACTAATGTTTAGGTAGCACGGGTAGTCGGTAGCACGGGTAGTCGGTAGCACGGGTAGTCGGTAGCACGGGTAGTCGGTAGCACGGGTAGTCGGTAGCACGGGTAGTCGGTAGCACGGGTAGTCGGTAGCACAGGTAGTCGGTAGCACGGGTAGTCGGTAGCACGGGTAGTCGGTAGCACGGGTAGTCGGTAGCACGGGTAGTCGGTAGCACGGGTAGTCGGTGGCACGGGTAGTCGGTAGCTCGGGTAGTCGGTAGCTCTGATGACCATCATGTAAGCGGCAACGTCGCTGGTGTTGTGTGTTGTTCGCATGGCATCGTTTAAAATTGTAACGATGAAAAATCACTACTAGAACTGATTTAATTACCAATAGACTGAGGTTTGAACTGTGAGCTGCCTAGAGGGCGATCCCTGACACAGTCTATGCGGGGTCATGTTGTCCTGACCAAGGTTGCCGATAGACATGGGGCCAGACAGCAGTAATTAGGTTATACAGGTAACCCTCGGACCCATAAATGCAGTGTTTCCTAGCAAACTTTTTCCGCTTGGTACAAGCCGGTCATTATGTCACATTTGTGGTAAGGGGTAACGTTTTTGATAAATGCTTGGTGGCGATATAGACACTCGTCTTTATCTACGAAAAAGGTTATGCAATTAAGAGTGTGCCAGCCCCTTATGTCTGTATGTCAATGACCTGTCCTTGGCTCCCAAAGTCATCAGAGTGGTTGATCAGATAAATAGTTCCTTAATTGTGCTTGAGTTCTCTTGATAGGTGTGTGACCGATAGAAAAAAAGTTCTGTTATGTCTTTTATGCAACATGTTCTAAGCTCTCAAATGGTGAATCTTCGCGTGTTAAAAGTAAGGAGATCTTTTGCCTTTGCTCCAAGATACGATGTAAGCTCAGGAAAGTAACCATTGAATTGCAATTGTACAAACATACCTTAGACCGGATGTTAGCCTTTTTTTATTATTGTTGTAATTTCTTTCTAGTAGATTGCACACTGTGGTACATCCCTGCATTTATCCCCCCCGGGGAATGGACAGGCAATAAAGATTCGTATTATTTCTAACCCAGGGAAAATTTCTCTGAAAATGCAGGAACGTCTACGCCTGGTGATATTCAGATCGAGAACTTTGATGACGGATAACATTTGTAGTTCAATTTCAACCACCTTGAGAGTTATTATTGCCTTGTATACCTCACCAGGCCTGACCGGAAGAGAAATGTAATTGAGGAGTTGACATTGAGTATTTCAGATTAGGATTTAAATCTCCGGGGTCCTTGTCTACTTCCATAACCTGTAACAGTGCTATAGAAGACCAGATACAGCAATGCGGTCAGAGTGATGATTCCAATGGAGTCAAGAGGGTAGGACCAGACGCCGGGACCGTGCAGTTCTCTACGGTGTCGCCATAGTTCTAGTGTGTACTTGCCATTTGGGACACCGGACAGCAAAACTGATGACACACCACTGTTCAGGTAGACTTCAGGTACCCATGTCCAGTTTCTCCTCGGGTCACTTCTCAACTTTCCTCGGCCAGTTTGTTCAGGTGCACTGCCTACACGACACGCTAGAGAGACTCCAACTTAGCGAAGTCTGGCTTTAGTTTCTTTAGGCGTTAATTCCCTAGGAATATAAACAAAACCTCAGGCAAACCTGTCCAATGGTGGAGAGCCAATATCAAGTTCGCTCAGCACGCGCCGTGGACTTTCCGGTTGAAGTCTGGGCTGCTGCAGCCTGTCTCGGGATCTAGTTTTTGGGACGATCAGAACGCCGGGGTCAGATCAGGACGCCCCCCCCCCCCTCCACGGGAAAGGTGAACACTATCAGTTACAATAAAGACAAACAGTTGGTTTTGGTAATCGAAGACGACATTCCGGTCATGATATTGTCTAGGAAGAGAGCACATTGAACTGGACGAACGTTCACTGAAAACGTCAACACAAACGTACGCTCGGGTAAAGGACACAGCCGTGCCGCCCTTGAACGATTACGAAACCATAACGTTGCGCAACACTGGGACGGGTTTAATTGATCGGTCTGTCAGCTCCTCCTGAAGGCCGTCTATTAAAAGCTCGTCAATCCCACCTGTCTCTTAAACCACGCCACTGGTCTGGTGGCTCCTCGCCAAGACACGTGCCAAGACTCGACTTCAGATTGGAGTCAGCGGGAATCAGCCTGATCCTACCATTACCAGCGTGTGTGTACACAGATTCAGGCCGATAGCCAAGCAGCCTTGGCGTTTTGTATAGCCCAAAAGGTTTCCCCTTTGATCCTAAGTGCCACGGTTCTATTCTCATCTACAGAAAGTATGTTGTCCTTGAGAAGGCTCCATCAAAAGTTGGCAGAGAGAGTGTCATTCGCAGTAAGGCCTAAACTCCATTCAGATGAATAGAAGCAACCGATCACTTAAAACAACTGAACAATTGCCAAAAGTACAATCAGGGTGACAACAACGTGAAGTGAAAATAATTGATACTATATAACAGGACACCTTTCTCCCACATCTGAAGGACGTTGGGGAGCAGGGTGTACGTGATTAACAGCACACCCAAAAAGAAGTGACCTCGCCTTGAGACATGTCTTGACCTTTGTCGATGATGACCCCATAAGTACCCTGGGCCTCTTGTAAAGGAGCCAAAACAAAGACGACCTACAGAACGTTTAACTGATACATCAGAGGTGCAAGTACAAGTCATGGCGCAGGGTGAAGTACGGGGTGAGAGCACGGCAAGGTCAGCATGTTTACACGTCAGGATTCATCCGTCAAGGGCAGGTGGCAACACCTGTAAGAGCAGGTGATGTCAGCTGTCGTCAGGTCACTGTGATCTTCATCTCTCCACCTGTACACACCTGTACAGCTGGTACGGGACCTTGAACCTGCTCGACTCAAGAGTTGCGCAACGCCACCTCACACCAACCGCCCAGAAAATAGGACGGCCTTTCCGTCAAACAACAAAGACAAGAAATGACATTGATGGCTTAAAGGCATCCGCGCGAAGGTCACATGCTGGCGATTTTCCAAACTTTTTTAAACCACGCTGCAGCTAAATGTTAATACATGTACAGCTCTTTAATATGTACATACAACTTAACTTCTTTACACAAAGTTAAAGAGCAGCTATCAATCTTTAAGTATGACGGATGGAGGAAGATATGTAAAATACCATGTTAAGAAGACATAGGAAGAAAGAATATTACAAATATTTCCTTCAGAGACAGTAATTCCAATCAAGCGCCAACCACGTCTGCAGTCACGAGTGACCTTTTGGCAGGAGATTAGTTACGGGTTGTTTATGTGGCTCAAGGCCTTGTTGTGATTGCGAAACTCCAGCTAAGGACGCATATCAAATTTACGTGGCTGTCGATTTGGTTTGTCATGTTGGTTTAAAAGCGCCACCTTGCACGTTATTCTTAAACTGCGGCTCAGAAAAAGCACCTGCGGAAAACTCAGCTACACCTTCTAGCGAACATGAAAATAAACGCATATGCCATAACAGACCAAAATTTCCTCCAGCAAAAAGGTTTGGTGTGTACTTGATACCCCTGAGAGGTTATAAATGGATTTAAAAGCTATTTTATGGGATTCCTTTCCAAGGAAAAGGTCATCAAATACATGTATAGTATTGAGTACGCCCTAAAGCAGACACTAGTACCTTAAAACTTCAGCTCATATCAAAACTGCAACATCAGTTTACGTACTATGTTACACACACACACATATATATACATACATACATACATACATACATACATACAGATACTACTAACAGTATATCGAGATATTTGCTGCTTTGGCAGAGGTGTGTAGTCTCAATAAAGGAATTAGACCCAAACTTAGTAGAGTGTCATTACTTGCCAAATAGAAGACAGTCTTAAGTGGTACAAATGGTCATGAAATAAAAATAGTGTGAGCATGTGTCTTACCCCTTAATGGACCATGTTTACCACTTGTATTAAACATGAAGGACACAGTTTAAGTCAACTTTATTCTGTCCAAAGATAGCAATGAAATGAATAACAAAATTCATTATGTCACGTCTGATGTGCATATCTAATATGAAATATCATCTTGGAGAAAACATATATAGCTTTTGCCAGCTTCTATTTCCTTGTCAGAAGGATGCCAACATTTCCTTGTCAGACATCCACATGACAGTAAACTAAAGGCTTCTTTGTACTTATGTGAAAAATTCCTTGGGTAAGGTTAGAATCTATGACAGCTGTTTTCAATTTGAGTCCACATGACTTGCCAGGGCCATCCCAGGACCATCACTCTATGTTTTCCTTGAGGCATCCTGCCCATACCTCGCTGGTGGGTTCAGATGGTACGACCCAACCTAGAGGTACACCTGTCGCCCCAACTGTGCCATCTGGGACAAGATACATATCCCACTCTCTCCTGTAACAAGAACACAACACATCATGGGTGGAAAATTCTACAGGACTATGAACATTCGCCTATATTTCATTTTTTCCAAGGTTACCAATTGTGCAAAAAAAAAAAACAAAGGACGAGAAACACACTAATTAGCAGCAGTCAGGTATATGTGCAAAAAAAGAATGTTGTAGCAATAACTACTGAATGTGAATTCAGCAGAGCTGTATCAATGCAATCAATGAGGTAGCTCTGCTCAGAAGAATGGAAGATTCCTCCTCACCTAATATGTAGGAGGGATTGTACACTGTTGTCTCCCTGCTCATAGTACTGTCTGTAGGGCAGCAGGGGGTCAGCTGTGTCTAGAGGATCTGGGGACATATAATAAACATTGTTTAAACATCACTAGCTAACAAAAATAATCACTAACTAATCAATAGATATATTGAAAAAGCATTACAACATTAACATAAGTGACCCTGCGCCTAGACCAAGAAGTTGTGACTGAAATGTTTGATTCCAGGCTGTTCTCACCTGTTTTGCACACTACTGGTGCTGGAAAGGGACATAAAACCATGGTCCACTGTTTACTGTTCACTTGTGGAAAAGAGCTAGGGAAACATCCCCTGCACTTTACATAGCAGCAGTCGTCTTTGTTACAACCAGTAGCAGATCTAGAGTAGCTCAACTGTTGAGCTAAACTGGTTTGAGATCACTTTCACTCAGTTTTTTTTACATGGTTTGGAGAAACTGACCTGTAGGTCCAAACAGCATCTCTAGTTGTCTTGCTTCTTTCTTCCTGGCTTCTTTTTCTTCCTTCTTTTTTCTGGCCTTTAAGTTGAAACAAAGACAATAGTTATTAAGTACATTTAATTACTGCTACATGTATTAAGTAATACATCTCTACTGTCTGCCATATGATGCCATAGAATTGTTGCTTTGTTTTGTACCAATTTCAGTGCTTTTCCGTGCTTCATTCACACCTGCACACCCCAATTCATCTTATGTTTCTTCTTGACACACCTGTTCCCCGTTTCCCTACCACACCTGCCTGCACCTGTCGTAAGCTGACTCACCCGTCTGTACCTCTCCCTCTCCTCCTCCTGCTCCTCCTCCACCACTGCTCTCAGCATCCTCTCCTCTTCTCCATACATCTTGGAGCGATCAACCATCATCTCTATGTAGTCCTGTAGCTTACACTCAAACAAACGCTCTGCTTCTGATGAGGTTTTCACACCTACAAATACAGGTTTGAAAAGTTTTCAAAATTGAGAACCATGAAATCATGAGCCTGATTATTTTCATTCTGCAAAAGTGCAGGTCGTTTAATTTCTCTTCTGAAATCTTGAAAATCAGTGATCATTTTGCAGGCAAGTATTTCAAACACTGTTGTGTAACATCCATTTCATGAAACACAAATGACAAAATCAATCATATCAACATGTATGCACTGTACATGATGAACAAGTCCAACAAGTGAAACCACTTAAACAAGACAGAACTGAAGCAGGAATCATACGGTCCTTGAACAGTACCTTTCCTCTCATTGGCTTCCTTCCTGAGTTTTCTCAGCTTGCCCAGAGACTTCAACAGCTCTGTGGATTTAGTGGCCTCTGATTGCTTCCTACGCACCTCTGACAGAGTATCGTCAACTTCCTTCTTAAGCTCTGCCTCCTGAATAAGGGGCAGACGTTGTTGTTAGCTGTTGTACAAGGAAATTTACACCACTTTTTGCAACTCTATGTTGAATTGTATATTTTAGGGTATCTTTGTGTACTCACCCTCTTGGCATCTAAATCCTTCTGAAGGATGTTGTTTCTCCACTTGTCGATCTTCTGATGTCTGTCCTGACATCGCTGCTCATCCTCCTGTCTTCTCCTGTAAGATTCCTCCCGTAACCTTCTCATCCTAGCCTGTTTTATACAGAAACATGAGGTATATTTCAAAATGTACTGTGTTTAGAGGAGATGGGGACCACGTAAAGGTATAGAGCAAGATTGAAACAGGAAATGCAAAGACCACTTAACTACAGTTATAACATGTGCTTAACCAGTGCGAGGAGTAAATACAATTAGGTAGCACACTGGAAAGGATACAGTGCCTTGCTGTACTAAGTACTAGTAGATGAAGCTTAGTAGACAAAGTTTAAGTACTGTCTGGTACATGTAGTTGAAGAACCTTCTCATCCTAGCCTGTTTTATACAGAAACATGAGGTATATTTCAAAATGTACTGTGTTTAGAGGAGATGGGGACCACGTAAAGGTATAGAGCAAAATTCAATTTGTACCGACTCCCCTAAAAAATTTTGGTCGCACATAAAACACTTGAAACAGGAAGCAACTGGTATCCCTAGCCTTAAACTAAGAGATAAATTAGAATCAGACAACAGAATCAAAGCAAACATACTTAACTCCCAATTTAGTTCTGTCTTTACTGAGGAAAAAGAACAACTCCCCCACCTCCCCCGCAGTACCATTCCCTCAATACCAGAATTCAGCATTAATACTAACGGAGTTATCAAACTCCTGAGTGATCTGAATCCACACAAAGCTAGTGGACCAGATGGCCTTTCAGCAAGAATTCTTAAACTAGCGGCCGTAGAGTTAGCCCCAGCCCTAACCTTAATATGTCAGAAATCTTTAGACTCAGGCCAAATCCCGTCCACTTGGCTACACGCAAACATCACTGACTCCCATTTATAAAAAAGGTGATAGGACGAAACCTTCTAACTATCGCCCCGTCTCTCTCACTTGTGTTTGTAGTAAGGTTATGGAGCACATTATCCACTCCCAAATAATGGACCATTTTGATATGTATTCTATCTTAACTGAAAACCAACATGGTTTTAGGAAGAAACATTCGTGTGAGACTCAACTTGTCCAAACCACAAATGACTTAGCCCTTTCCCTAGATTCCAAATCACAAACTGATCTAATCATAACTGATTTCGCCAAAGCCTTCGATAAGGTTCCCCATAACCGTCTTCTCTTAAAACTACATAATTACGGTATCCGAGGCAAACTCCTCCAGTGGATTTCTAACTTCCTAAAAAAACGTAAACAAAGGGTGGTAGTTGGGGGGGAACATTCAGATTGGGCAGAAGTAGTTTCTGGAGTACCCCAAGGCACCGTACTAGGGCCTTTATTGTTCCTAGTATACATAAATGATCTGGCTGATAACCTTAACTCTAGCATCAGGCTTTTCGCCGACGACTGTGTCATTTACAGAGAAATAAATAACCACAATGACCATATCCTACTACAAGATGATATAAACACGTTAGACGCATGGCAGTGCAATTGGCAAATGGAACTACACCCTGATAAGTGCTATGTCATGCGCTACACCCATAAACGCAAAACTAAAGTATTCGACTACAAACTAGGGAGCCATACACTAGCTGAGGCTAATAATCACAAGTACCTAGGGGTTATCTTAAACAACAAACTTTCTTGGACTGAACACATCCATCATATTACTTCCAAAGCAAATAAATCACTAGGTTTTATTAAACGCAATCTCTATAGCTGTCCTAAATCAGTTAAGATGAATGCATACACTAGTTTAGTCAGACCCCATCTTGAATACGCTAGCGCTGCATGGGATCCGTACTACAAGGAACATATTCACAAGTTAGAATCGGTCCAGAAAAGAGCGGCCAGATTTGTTTCTAATACCTATGATACTTATGCCAGCACTACCAAATTGGTCACAGATTTAGGGTGGGACACATTAAAGGACAGACGCACAGCAAGTAGACTCACATTACTTCAGAAAGCAAGACACTCAAAAACAGCCCTTCCGGTCAAAACCTTGTTGACACCTATCCCGCGCCAATCGCGACACTTCAACTCCAACTCATACAAACCTCTAACGTTCCACAAAGACTGCTACAAATATTCATATTTTCCACAAACTGTCAGAGATTGGAACATTTTGCCCCAAGAGATATCTGATACTGCGGAACCCACGAAGTTCAACGCTGCAGTACTACAACACCTGAGGAAGCAGCAATAACGCATCGCGCAGCTCCCCTGCACGCTTTACCCCAATCTAGGGGTGTTGTGCAGTACCTGAACAAGACAAGACAAGACACAGGAAATGCAAAGACCACTTAACTACAGTTATAACATGTAACAACTTACCCTCTTCTTCTGGATTCTTGAAAGTTTCCTTTCCAATTGTGTCAGCAACTGCTCATCCCCAAACATGCTCTCCATTTTTGTTAAACTGCCCTAGATAAAAGGTAGGAGAAATTGTATCAGCAAAAATATAACTGCTGTGCCCATTTCCCTGCCACTATAGACACGGAAATGGGCACACCCTACACAAACAGAAAGGTGGGAAGGTGACGAGAGAACAATTTTACTTGAAATTTGAAAATAAGCTGCTCCCTGCTGACTTCTGGTGTTTCAAATACTGGTATGTACATGTACATTTCAGGGTGCATTGACTGGCCTAATACAGGAAGCATGTCTGTACAGTACATGATGACATACTTTGATATCTGCAGCTCGTGTCATCTTAGCCTGCCACGTAGACTCGTCTGCCCCCACAGCCTCTGTCAGCACGGCTTTCTGTTCAGTCAGCTGGTCCAGGAGAGATCTCCACTCCGCCAGCTTCTGTCTCACCTCTGGCAGCTGCACAGACAACATGATACTAGTAGTCAGGGATTAAAGTACCGGTAGTAATGTACAAAGGCTCTTTGATATTGACATTGTATTGAGGGTATACAATTAGGACACCATGATGTTATGAATATGATGCAAGTTCAACAACAGGAAAGTTGATTTTGAGAATAGCATCCCAAGTCCTACTTACTAGAATTTTCATAAAGCTACATTTTGTACTTACTGTCAAAGCAGGACCTTTCTCCCCTTTTGTTCTGGCTGTCCCAAGGCCTCTCTTTGTCAGCCAAGTAGACAGCCACTGTCTATCAGCATCAGCCTGTACCTTGTCATCTGAAGGTTGTACACTGTGGTCATGAGAAGTCTGGCCATGGGATGGTCTCAGACCTGACGTGGTTGCAGGCCTGACATTTGATGTAAATGGAAGATGCCCTGAGATATTGGGTAGGGGTGGGAACAAGGGTGGAGGGGGGATGTTTGGCAGCCTTTGTTTTGGAGTTTGAAACTCTTGGCCTTGATGACTAACTGGTGGAGGAAATGCTGTCATTTGATTAAAACTGTTGTTGACAAAACCCCTGCTCATACTAGTGCTGCTGGAAGTGCCACCACTATCATTGAGCATATTTGACGGTGGATTTACGGCAAATGGAGAGGAAACGTTCTGTTGAAAAGCTGTGCCATGTTGAGCCATATTGATGTTTGGTTGTTGTGACTGCATGCTGTTGGCAAAATGCGAATCTCTTGCCCCATGGTCCGCGTAGTGTCCCATGTCCTGAGGGATTTCCTCCAACATCGGAGGTCCTGACGGAAAACCTATCTGTGTTCGAGAGTGATCATACTGCTGCTGACTGGAGGATGATGTTGGAAAGCTTAAGTTGTCCACAGAACCCTGATGGAAAGAAAACCTTTCTCCAAAATGCTGCTGCTGTTGTCCCATGTTTGTATATCCAGGTCCTGACGTATGTGTCCCTGGGTAGAAATGCTGGCCTTCATTGTTCTGATTTTGCTGTTGTCCGGTGTTTAGCCCCGCGTCTTTGGGCAGCCCCGTACTTGGATTTGGATGAAAAGGAAACTGTGATGGATGGGGAGGGGGGCGCGGGCCCAAGTTTGGAGGCCCTCTACTAAACCCCGCCTGCCACTGGCCGAAACCGTCCATCCTCACCCTGCAAAGTTAGTGATTAACTTGATATCGCTAATCAGTTCATTCCACCGTACGGAAGACAGAATCTGGGGAAGATTGGTGGTGTCAAGAATTGTTCACTTGGAGGCAGCCATTTGGGGAAATGAAATCTCGTGAAGTCTCGTTTTTGAAGTTCCCAAACTCTCGTGCAAACAATTTCGACACAAATTATCACTGACGCAAAAGTTGTGGTTATTCCTAGCACAGATCAGCAGCCCACGACTGTATATTTAACGTTCTATAAATCATTGTTACACTGGAATATTCAAAACAACATTCAAAATCCACATATATCCCACAGGGCCGGGAGAACACACTTTTTACAGGTAGTTCATGTAGAAGTAAAACAAAATCGAGACGTTTGATGACAACAAACATCAATCAACTATACAAATGTAAGGCGTTTGAGCTAAAATGTGTTTTAATTGTGAACAAGGGATGAGTTTGACGGGAATGAACTGATATCTCACATTTTTGGTATATGAAATGGATAGCCCTATTTCTAAGTGGATTCTTCCATAGGAAGGTGAAAGGTCAACTCCCCACTTAGCCGCCAGACATCAACAAAATATGGCTCAAGAGCTGGCTCACCGGATCCTCTCTGATCTCTCCACGGCTTTCCAGCGACACCCAAACATGTGAGTGAGTTTCGTTTGTCTTGTACAGCACCTGGAGACAAGTTTAGGTGATCTGGCTTTCGAGTACCAGGCCGCTGTGCTGTGTGCTCGTGAACTACAGCGGCGCTGCAGATTTACCCTTGGTTGACTGAACGGTTTTACGTACGCGTTACTTTTCTCCCCGAGCTAGTCGTCTGGTATGAGTCTGTTGAGAAATATTTTTGTGTCACCCTAGTGGCAGGCTTAGCGTGAGAATCCCTTATATGTTGTCACGGTCTTTACATGATTTGCTTTCACTCCTCGGTACGCGGTGAACTTATTTTTTTAATTATTATTCTTTGACAGTCTTTAAATGTTTTTAGAAATGACATTTGTCATAATTTGTCAGCTCGATTGCTGTCATTCAAAATTATGCAACAATGTTTCATTTGTTGCCTATAACCACCTTGATAATTTAGGTCTGATACTTCAATAAATCTTTTTTTTAATGTAGATTTGTATTGAAGGACCATCAGCTTTTTAAACATCCGTCAGGGAGCTATAAATAACTTACATATACTGAGGTCTATTTAGTTTCCAGCAAGGCGTATTGGAAAAAGTATCTGTTGCCAGCTGAAGTCGGCAATAAACTGAACCAATTGTCAGCAAAGGAAAAGCTAGACCAAATAGTTATAGATATGATTCAGAGAGAGTCTTGCTGAGATAGGCTATAGTATACTATGGGTGGTGATAGATTTTTCCAGTGTAGGATGGAACATTGCCATTACACATTAATATTTATACAATGTAACTAGTAAGGGCTTGAAATCCATTTTAAAACCAGGTTGCCCTGTTAGCAACATAAGCCAACAGCAAGGTTTCCCAGCAGAAGTTCATGTTGCCGCTGTGTCAAGACTCAAAGTCCTGATTTCTGTATGTTGTCTATTTTACACAGTTAACTATGAATGTATACTAATAAATGTAAAATCACTCTAATTTTGAACTCATTGGGAATAGCCATCCTTGGTGACTTTGTAAAACGTTATTACATGAACATTGTAAAAAAATCTATTTTTGCACTATAATTTGGTTGCAATCAAATAGCATTTAGATATTATATTGTAATAAAATAATGTACACTGTTGTGTACATGTGCAAAGCTCGAGTAATCCAATTATCCTGATTGCAATATATCACTCTGGACAGGTATTGATGAGATTTTAATGTCCTAATGACATTTTCCCTGGCTGGCTGATGGGAATACCTGCTGATCATGATAGGGGGGCCATTACCTTCACAATGTGGCGGGGAGATGGACCAGAAGATAACAGGGGACAGTGAGGTCTCATCCATCAAACTGACAGTCAACATTAGCCTGCATACAACAAGTCTCACCAGGATGGGTCCATGTATAATTGAGACTTCAGATCACCACATACTTCTGTATAGAAGAATGGTATCTTTTCTTATTCATGTATATGGTACTAGTGACTGGGTAATGGATGTTACTGTCCGCCCTAGCCTCATCAACCTTCCCATTCCTGTTTGTTCGACAGAAAATAGGTCAATAGGTTTCGATATGACTGCAACTCTGATGCAATAGGACTGTCCTTTTCAAAAACTGTAAAAATCTTGTTATGCAATGTTCAAAAACCTGTCCTACAGGTAAAAGTATATGTTGCACATATCTTGTTGTTAGTCATTATATTTCTACCCCATTTTCTAGGGAGGGAAATATATTGTTGTGTGTTTGTGACAGTGTGAAAGGCTGAATAAAAGTTCCAAACGGGAACTATGTGGCTCCAGATGTCTTACTGAGGGACGACTGCATGTGCAAGATGTTGGTTAGCTGAGGAATGAATCCCCTCAAATTCACGTTGTGTGTTTGTATAGTTCAGTGATAGCAGATGGGCAAATTTATTAACAACAGGACAAAGGAAGTTAGATCTCAGAGCTGCTGCTTGATGTTTGTAAATGGGTATGCTACAATAACATATAAATCATGGTGAAACCGCTTGCTTCAGGTATTTCCAGAGATCTTTTTACATCACAGACACTATTGAGGGGGATTGTTGTGGAGGATAAGCATCAAGGATCAATCATTGTACGTGGTTAAAGTCACGACAGTTGTGTTCAGTTCATTAATATTTGATGTGGTCAGAAACACTAGTGTACATGTAACGTTACATACATGTGATATTAACAATCCTTCTGTTGGTTCTGATAGTACTTATACATAGTACAACACCTATGGAGCTTGTGAAACAACTCTGGAGAGAAATGTCCACAAAGCACATACATGTTTTTTGTGATAGGCTTAATAACTTGTCAATAGGGTTCACCCACCCTTCATGGCCCCAACATAAGCCACATCTCATCTAAGGTACTTTACATAATTTGCTTTTAGGGAGTCTGACTTATAATTGAAGGTCATGTTGCAATAGAGAATGATGTTACTCTGTCTCCTTTCAGAATATTTTAGTATTCAACTTTCAAAGTTTTAATTTAATAAGTTGTCAATGGTGATTTTCCTTTACTTTCATCAGCTACATGTATATGCTAACATGTTGACCAGACAGCTGCTTGTGTGTAAAAATTCTTTGAGCCTAATTCCTTTGAGGCTTCAAGTTGAAATGATAAGTACATTGTACCACTCATAGTCACACAAATTATAGTCTGTATTTTCCATGAAATAGTCAAACTTTGCCGTGAGCTGATGTTGTTTATTTTCTTGGCCAGAGATGAGGTTGGGTTCATCCCTTGTCCGACCTGCCAGCATAACCGGAGCCCAGTGGTGGTGGAGAACAACAAGCTGGGGATAGAAACCTGGTGTCTGGAGCTCATCTTCCCATACGCACACGACAAGGTGCTCAGAGCGAGGGGGAGGGATGATAATGGAAGAAAAATAAAAGGTATATATACACTGTACATGTACATTTCTTAACTTGGTCTCCATGGTCTAAATTAGCAGAGTTAACAGTGCAATGCCCAATTCAATTTGCAATGTTACTCGTAGTTACAGTAGTGGTATTTTAGCTGTAGTTTACAATACATGCCAACTTTCAGTTCTAACCTTCACAAATGGTAGTGTGGTTAGTGCTGTCCATGTATTTTCTATGTATGTCTTGTACATGACAATATCAATGGTGTGTTTACCCAGAAATGTTTTTACAAAATTGAAGGTATGTTCCCTCTATTTCTCTTAGAATACATTATATTATTACCATAGGGCTGTTTTCAATGATATTGTAGTTGCTGAGGTGTATACATTGTATTTCCAGTTTCTAGAAGTGCTAGAAGTCTGCTGGAGGCTACGAGAGCTGTGTTATTGGTACAGGCTGACTGCCTTACTGCCTGGAACATAAGGTACGTATGGACAAGTTTGCTGTACCATTTTCTTCTTTGTTTCCCATGCCCTGAATCATTTCAGCTTCCATTGTTTAACTGTATTATTTTTTTTCATCTTAGTGACAATGTTAAAAAAAAAGAAAAGAAAGAATCTCTACCTACCATCCCTAGCTTTTTCAGGATGGTAATTGGAAACACAACATCAATTTTTGTAGCTGTGTTTTTCTACATTCTACAGATCAAGTTAAATTTCAATTAGAGATCATGTTAGTTTTAAACTGCAGTCATATTGCGTGTGTACAAGCAATCTGTTGTACAGGCAATCCACTTCTGATATCACAATATCTATAAATACTCAAATAATTGGATTTCTTTCAGAGCGAACTTCTAAGTCCTTGTAAGCAAATGCAATTTTCCAGGCAGTATAATGTGATGTATTGATCATGACAGACTTGACCCAGGAGACACGAGAACGCGACAGTTTCCAGGCAAAATGTACCATCAAAGCCAGACTCATCTCCTGTGTATTGGAAAATCAATTCAACCTCGTTTGCAGGGAAGCTAGGTCACTTATCCCATGGGGAGTGCAGCTGTTGGGATCGTCTCAATGTCACTTCAAGGAAACAGAAAGTAAAGATGATCTAGAAATATTACCATTTGGTAATATTCAGACATTTTTTGTCAATTCAGGCATTTATTGGTCAAAGTGACTGAAAAATATTCTGCAGATGGAAGTCACAGAATTTAGTAGCTACCTTTCATTGATCTTAATCTTATATACAAAATACTAGTAGTGTTGATATTTTAATTTAGTACACATGTATATCCTGGGTGTGTATCATTAGCACAGAGGGTCTATACAAATACTTTTATACGTAAAAGTTATTGTCCATGTGCTTGATTTTTCTCCTCGGTTATCCAGCAAGAAAGTTTTTGAACTTGGTGAACTCTGTGTACATGTGATAACAATAGACAGCAATCTTTTTTTTTCAAACACAAAGGTTAATTGCAAGGGAACACACAGACATTACATGTATAAGGTAAAAAGGTAACAAAAATGTCTTTATTTGATATTTCTACATACATTACTGAGGTTTTTTTTCAGGCAGTGGCTAATGAACAGACCCACCTTTTCAATAAAGTGGGTTCACTTTATGATTTTAGTGAAAATGTCATTTTTTTGAAGGCCTTCTATGTAGTTAAAGCTCATGGAGGTAGTTTCAGCTATGTAAAGAACCATCAATCTAAATGCCTTTCTCTGTATCCATGGGTGGTGCATGGGGTATATACTAAGAACAGTCATACTACAGTGTGATTTGTGACTGTCATGTATCTCCTGAGTAAGTAGAAGGAAGACCAGGCCTCTTTTAATGGCCCATCCATCTTTGTTCCACAGACGCATCAAATAAGCCACTGGTGCCAACCAGCATTTTCCTGTATTCCCCATGGACACATTTAACTTGGCTCATCCTACCAGTCCTGGCTTTTACCACAAAGGCTTTTCCAATTTTTTTAAAATTTGAAATAGGGCAGTCGGGAAATTTCCTCCTTTGCCTGTTTTAATTTCACCTTCCATCCTATGTTCAAGTCTTGTAATACCCCCTTTTTTGTAATTTGGTTTGTAAAGTGTTGCTACTGGCACCCCAATAACCTTGGAGAAGGTTGCACATTAGATGAAGATGATGGTGAATAATTGTTACGATCATTGATGTAGAAAGCTGTAGTGTGTCACAGAAGCAATAAGACTGCAGAGAGTCTGACAGGGGAAGGTGATGTTTAACAGATGTAAATGCCAGCTATATACTGTTACAATCATGAAGAAAGAGAAAATAGCATACTATTGGAATGTGCCTTAGATCTAAACAATACCTTGATATGAGGTGTGCAAGTGAAAGCGACATGTATAACTATCCATCTACCCATTATTTTCAATCGTCTTAGTATTTGGCTGTGAGGAACATATTTACATTCTAGGAAAGAGCTCGTTGAAGCAGAAGATTTGAAGTGTATACAGGACCTGAAGTTTGCTGCACTGGTCCTCACCAAGCACCCAAAGAGCTCCGAGACATTTGCTCACAGGTAACAGACTAGATACAAACACCAAAATAATAGAAATGGAATTACATATAATGAAAGAAAGTATATTGAAAATGTGAACCAATTTTCCTCTTTCAAATATGGTCCTCCAGATCTAGAAACAGTGTAAACTTTGGTGGACGTTTGAATGGTGGACGTGCTATCTCACATCTTGTTTCCACTTTTCTTAAGTGACTTTAAAGAAAATTTTCCAATTGTTTTCAAATTGACATTAAATTACTTCAATTTCATCCAGCATTGATACTGTTCATGTATTAAATCTGTTGTTTTTCTCATTCAGGAGATGGCTGCTCAAGCAAATTGTACAGAAAACAACGTCTACCTCCCTTCAACCCAGTCCTGTTTCCCAAGCTTCTCACACCAATGGTCTTGTGGCTGGAGACCAGGCGTCTGGTGGTGCTGCAGCAGTACCGCCTCTCAACGCTAGGGGGACAAAATCAGGAGGTGCTGAACTGCCTTGTGATGAGAAACTTCTGGAGACAGAGCTTGCCGTGTGCCAAAGTAGTGCAGAAAGATACCCCAGTAATTATTATGCCTGGACCCACAGGGCATGGGGTGGTGGAACAGGTGGCAAGATGTCATTATAAGGTCAGACTTTACTTTGGTGATGTTGAATCTGTAGTTAGAGATAATGAAATAACAATTTTTGATAGATTTCACAGCTATCAAGCAGAAAACTACTCATTCTAGAGAGTCTGACATCATGCTGTAAATGCCATGTGTACTTTTGATTGCCTGGTACCATACATGTAACATTGCATGTAAACATTTGTAATTAATTGCTGATGAGTGGTTGATGTATAATTGATGTGATGAATAATGAACAATGTAATTATGGATAGATTTCACAGTTGTCTTAACAGAATAACAACTGTCTTAAGGGAGGTGACTAACTGAAAACAGGCATGTACTTACTTCAACCATATTTGATCTGAGTCATCAAATGTGTCAGAACAAATTAACCATGAATGATCAAATTCACTGTTCCAAACTTTTTGTGTAAAGTGTATATTAAGTTGACCTGCAACACTCATATAGAATGTGTGATATTTGTGACTTGTAGATCCTGATAAAAGAGCTGTCAGACACCAGACATTGGATCAGCCGTCACATTTCAGACCACAGCGGGCTCCAGTACCGCCAGTTCCTCATCACGCAACTGGCCACACATTTCAGGTCAGTTTTCGATATCTGCACAGCCTCAAGTGTCAATCATTCTGTAAATATAACAAATTTTAAGTGAGAGGTAATGCAGAGTTAGTGTAAATCTTGAAATGTGTGTGGTGTTTTATTTTTGTGGTGCCTCCTGTTGCAAAATCATGACACAATGAGTATGTGTTTGTAAAATAATGGTACAGTATTCCTTTCCACTTCTACTTTGAAATAAAATGCCTCCAAAAATAAAATCATTTTACAGACATACAGTAGGATTATCAGTAGGGAAACAGAATTTCTGCACCCTTGTACCTCTTTTGTTTTCAAATCTCAGAGTAGGAAGCAGTAACAACATGAATGAAACTGTATCCCATCCTGTTTCCAGGTCAGCTGATGCCCTCCAAGATGAGTTCCTCCCACTTCTCACTGCAGAGTTTGAACTTCTGACTGACCTGATCACTGCCTTCCCTGGACACGAGGCCCTTTGGTATCACAGGTAGGACTGCAGCTAATGCCGAACCAAAATAATATTGCTGTCTACTCAGGGGTTGTTCGTAATAAGTAGTACTGTAATCTTGTGTCTACTCAGGAGTTGTTGTAAAAGTAGTACTATAATCTTGATCTGAAGGTCTGTACTCAGTGGAGAGTGAAATGTCACATTATTCTGTCCTTGGCACAGAATTTGGGTCATGAACAGTTCTGTCCCTGGTGCCAATGATTCTATAATGAATGGAGAACTGCAGGCAGATGTCCTTGGGGCATGGAGTTGTATCTTGGACATTGCATTTCTATTGAAGAATATTGTTTTTGTGTCCCTTTTTTGTTCAGAATGGTCTTGCAGACTGCTCTGTCCATGGTGCTGAAGTACTTTCACAGTGTTTTTAGATTGTTTCTCACAGAACCAAACTTTTTATTATTAAGGTTCACTATGAAATGACTGCCCAACAATAAACACCAGAAGATGTGCTTTTTTTCTGTTTTAATCTTTTTTCTATGGACAAAATGTTAGAATTACACATGCCTCTGATAGCACCATTGTTTTTCTGTTGTAGGAGATATGTCTTCCAACAGTGGGAATCTGTCCTGTCCATGTGTAAGTGCCCAAAGTCAGACAACAGTGCCAGCAGTACTGGTAAGAACCAAACACACTTGCAGCAGGGTCACCCCGAGGTACCGGCCGAGTTGTACGCACACAGTGCCTCTTCATTTTCCCGTGACTGCAAAGACAGCAAACTGCATGCAACTGTGGTGCAGGGGAACAAGAAGGCGAAGGTCGACCCGGCGTACACGGAGCACCACACGCTTCAGTCGGAGCTGGAGTTATGTCGGAATGTCATGGCAACGTGTCGGGATGGATGGCAAGTCCGACTGGCGGGCAGCTACCAACACTGGCTACAGCAGAGGATTCTGGGACAGGACAACACATCTCTGTAACTCAACCATACACTTTACCCTTGTGTGTAAAAGCATGGTCTGGAATATCATGTACTGTTAATCTTGTAGTGGTTTTCTTTTTGTGGTTTTACACAGTGACCTCTCCACTGTATATTCATGGCACTGTGAATTATATGTTTTCAATGTACATGTGTACTACAGAATTGTTTCAACCAACTTAAAACACTGAAAAAACCTCCTTTCCCTTCTGAAATCCTTCTGAATGAATGACAGCAGTTTTGATAAAATGACTGACTATTGAGAACATACGAAGTGACCCCTAATGGAGGTCTCACATCACAAAGTTGTGCCTAACCTGTACATAGCAATGGTGCCAGGATGTACCCTGGTCAACTCGTCCAACTGCACTGGTCAACTCGGCCTACTACCCTGGTCAACTCGGCCCTCCGTCCTGGCTGTAGTCTAACTTTTAGCCGTTTTACCATAGGAACAATGGCATATTTTCCTGTCCAAGATAAACATTCGTTTACTGCATCTCTTTGTCAGACAATTAAGAACTGTTGATTTTGAGGTTTTTGCAAACCGCCAGTGCTCAGGCAATCAAGATGATTTTAATTTTTGAAGCCCAAAAATTTGTCTAAATTCCTGTCTCCGATATTGGCCCAAGTTGACCAGGGAGGTAGGCTGAGTTTACCAGGGAGGTAGGCCAAACTGACCAGGGAGATGGGCCGAGTTGACTAGGCCGAGTTGTTAATGTCTGAGTCGTCGTATGAAAGGAAAACTTGCTGGAAAGGACCTGTAACCAGGAAGTGTTGATAAAGACTGAAAGGACAAGATAGTGTTGGCTTCATGTCCTTTCTCTGTGCTGTGCAAGTAGATATAGATGTTATGCTACATTTTGGATATAGAGCAAGATCAAGATCTACGGATAGTGTTTCTTCTTTGAGTAATAGAGTGATTGATTTTCATACCCCCTGTGTATGTTTTTTAAGCAATTAATGTGATATTAGCTGTACAGATTAATTATTTGATGATAAGATGCTGGTAAATTACAGGTGCTATGAAAAATCATAGAGTAACCAGCAATGTTTGGCATGTTTGTTGCATTGTGAACTTGGCTCTTTTGACCAGTTCATGTCAGTAAGCCATATAGGAAGCCTTACAGTAAACCTCCTCTCTATAACAGAAAAACAGTTGTTTGGAATTTTAGAACAACACTAGAAGAATTAGATATAATATAGGAAGCCTGATACCAGTTGCCATAACGTGAGAAGTGCTACACATACCATGTTGGAATGGAGAGTTTTAGATAGTACTAGTCACCAGCAACTTGCCTTAGTGATAGATGATGTTAGGTATAAAATTGTCCTGATATATAGATATTAAGCAGTTAAAGAAATCATATAAAAGGAGTGTTAATGGTTTGTGCAGAAATGTACACAAGTCTCGGTGTGCCTTCACACAGTATCTTAAATCTGTTTCCAAAGTATACTACAGTAATTGTTAAGACACTAAAATGGTAGAAATAGTGAAGGAATATATATGTAGTCTATTGTATTACCTATAGAATGCTGAGTTTTGCTTTATTGACCTTCCTTTGCGATATGGAAACCCATTTTTGTTACAGCAAAATTGTGCATACAATAAAATGTCATATATGCTTGCTTATGAATAAATTGACTGCAGGCAGTTCATGATCATGGCCTCGGGATTGTATTTTAGTCATTGTGGACTAGGATTGATAGTGTGGCAATAGCTGTTTGCAGTGTGGAATTCAGTCCGCCTGTAAGCCGTAACATTCCAGCTCTGAGCGTTTTAAGTACGAGCTGCGTTCGATTCAATAGCAGGTCCCTAACCGAAGTTAGATACTCATTTTCACCTGAGGCAGGTGAAGAAACTGATGTTAAGTACCTTTTCCAAGGGCACAACTTTGGGACCTGCTAACGATTCAAACAAGAACATTTAGATTTTATATTTAGGTCAACAACCCTAACCACAGCACTCGCCTGAAGTCTTTACAATAGAAATGATTAGTTAGTCTACCGTCATGCACGAGTAGCAGTTAATGAGTCATTCGGTATTACATGATGAACACGTTGGCTTATAACCAAACGATGGACTAATCGAACAATGGAATGTGGTCACGCAAAGTCACATGTGCTCATGCACATCCATTAATATTTAATGGGCCACTCCACTATTTTAAATGATATTCGTCATTATGAAGATGAAATGTTTTACTTGGCTGATGCATTATTTACCAGCATTTGAAATCAACAAAAAGCACGAGGTTAACCGACGTACGTAGTCATTTTCAAAAAGGCTCAAAAAGTGAAGACGGTGTGCACTTGCAGAGCGTAAGTCAAGTTGTTCAGTTTGTTGCTGTAAACCGTATAACTGTGCAATAGCTTGCTGAAAATGCCTAGAACCACCGACAACAAAGTGGCCAGCGCCCTGCTGGAGTTCGCCGACACCACCACCACACATGGCGTCCCGAGAGCCGTGGGGTCGTCCTCGCTCCTCCGGAAGATTTGCTGGACCGTCGCCTTTGTGGCCTCGTTGGGTTACTTCCTCTACCAGGCCAGCATGCTTTTTAACAAGTATTTTGACTACCCGGTGGCCACGGATATCTCTATCAAGTTCGCGACTATCGAGTTCCCTGCGGTAACGATCTGTAACCTGAACCCCGTTAGACTGTCCAAACTGAATACCGCAGGTGGCGAGTTCTCCAGCTACATCATCTCCGACGTCGGTACAACCGCACCACCCTCACCAGGGCCACGACGCAAACGTGGGGTCGACACGAGCCAGGACAACCGCCCCGAGTATGATGTAGACTGGGAGGATCCGTATCCACCACGAGAGGAGAGCGCAGAAGAACACGAGCTGCTTCGAGAGAGGCGGGAAACGGGATCGTCCGCAGGGTCAGCTGACTCTCAGGGCTCATCGGACTCTTCAGATTCATCTGACTCTTCAGATTCATCGGACTCTTCAGATTCATCGGACTCTTCAGATTCATCGGACTCTTCAGACTCGTCTGACTCATCTGACTACGCGAGCTACATGTACGGTGGCACCTGGAGCTCGCACTACGGTCAGGTCAGTGGAGCCAGTCATGTGTTTAACTTTGTCCCTCCTCACTGTGACAGTACGATTCTTTACTTATTTCCTTACTTTGTTCTCAGTATTATAAATACGTTTCCTACAGCACGTATCAACGAACCTAAAGTTGTATCGATCGAATGAATGAATGAATGAATGAACTCATAACAGATCATAAATGCAAATAAACAAATTAATGTGAATGGCCATGAAATGAATACTATAGGACTGTAGGAAGACGACTATTGAACAGGTCAAGAGATATAGTGAGTGAGTTCAGGTTTTACTACGTTCTGTAGGATGGGAGCTCCTCCAGTGATTATATGTCTGAAGATTACCACCACGAGTTCGAGTTGGTGCAGAACTTCTCTTCGTCGATCCTGGGGTTGAACAGGACCTCCCGCCGGACCATGGGGCACCAGTACCAGGACCTGGTCCTGGAGTGCGCCTATGACGGCAGATCCTGCTCCAGGACGTAAGATGTTGCCCGAGTGCTTCAAACTTCTCATACACTGTTAGCTTAGCCTAGGGCTTCGTTAGCAAGCAATTGCTGTTGTAAGAATTGTTGATTATGATATTCAAATAATACGTCCCGTCAGTAGCATTGCCATTATCATCATTAACATGACAACTATGTAAAAGTGAAATCATACCTAAAATTTAAGAGAGCAGTAACCATGGTACCATTTTTGATAAATATGTTTACTGTGATACCACTGATGACCTTATGTATGATTTATTAGATTGATTAGCACCAACGCCCCTGTTATCCGCATCACCTGTTTTATATTTGTCTTTTTGTTTTCCATGTAATTTAAGAGACTTCGGGCGTATACTTGATGAAAAGTACGGCAACTGCTACACATTTAACTCGGACAAAGTGTTACAGAGGAAAGTGAGGGATCCAGGACCGGCTCACGGTACAATTATCCCTCCCACCTCACCTGGTTTCCGATCTTTCGTTTTCTGTTATCAATCTTCCGCAATAAGACTTATTTTTACACTGAACGCCAATGTTTTTCATACTTAGTTGACGTGTTCGCACGACAGCACGCAATCTATTTCCAATTTACGCATGACTCTAACCCTCCCATAGTAACCATGATGAGACAATGCAACAATTCACAATTGATCAAAGCCGGACGCAAAGGATATTGCCACATTAAATAAAGGATGCCTAATGGCCAAGTGAATAGAATGTTCGCATTGCATTCGGTAAGTCGTGAGCTCAAACCTTAAAGTCATACCAACGGCAAATACCGCTTTCTTTTGGCATCAGCATTCGGGAAAGAGCATGTAGCTGAACACACATATCACTGACAGTGGACTTGTAGCCCCCTGCTTCTAATTTGTGACCCAATTGCAAGGGACTTGTTATTAATTTTTTTCTTCTTCTTCTCTAACTCGTATTGGTGCATGCCCATAGGCCTGCAGCTCACCCTGTATATCGAGCAGGATGAGTACGTGCCGGCGGTCACCCCTGCAGCCGGCGTGAGGGTGGTCATCCACCAGCCGGGGGAGTGGCCCTTCCCTGCCGAGGAGGGCTTCGACGTGGGCCCTGGGTACAGCACGTCTATTGGGCTCCAAGTTGTGAGTGTATGAAATGTCAAACATGTATGTTTTACATTCTTTATGTGTTTCCTACTGCGGCTGTATGGGTGATAACGTATTTAAGGAGGATGTACACAACAAGGGCCCTGTTTTCTTTCTCGTCCACAGACCACCATCCGGCGACTTGGCGGTAAGTACGGAAACTGCACCGACGGGCGGGACAAAGACAACCTGTATCGCAGCAAGTACTCCACAAAGACGTGCCTGCACACCTGCTTCCAGCGCCTCCTGGTGGAAAAATGCGGTTGCGGCAGCCGCTTCATTCCTTTGCCGAAGAAGGTTCCCGCGTGTCCAGTACCCATCAGTGAGTACTTACTTAATAACCTTCGTATTGTTTTGCCCCTTTCGTATTATGGATGATGTTGACACCAATGTTATACTATATAATTACTTCAAGCCTATTTAATAATTACTTAAAGTCTATTCCTTCATCTAAGGATATACAGGCCTATATCGCCACTAGTACATTAATATAAATGGACTAAAGGCATATAATTTTTTGCAGATTCTTGTGAGCAACGCTGGATCAGTGAAATGCGCAACGGACGTATTTGGTGTGACTGTCCCCCAAGCTGTGTGTAAGCTAGATTTGTGCACTTTCACCGGGTATTTACACTGTATTGTTGGGCGTCGGCGTTATTTTTTCTCTGCGCGACGCGAGTAATATGTGGCCGCGAGGGACGATTTGCTGCCGAGGGAGTTTTTGCCACGGAGAGAAGGTTTCGCGCTCCA